AGCATAAATGAAAGCGTCTAAATAAAATATTTGTACGTGTGTAAAGACCCTTCATCTCCTTGGTTATATCAAAATCATCAGTTAGGTCATTTTTAATTATATGGTCAAGGTATTTAAAAGATTCAACAAAACCAATTTTACAGCCTGATATGTATAATTCTGGGAAGGAGTTTAATATAATTTTGGATATTTGAGTTGGGTTAAACACCATACATACAGTTTTCTTTGTATTAAAGGACATATTAATTAAGGAAGATTCCTTATTTGTAAAGCTAATTAGTTTTTGAAGAGAAGGCCAAGATGGTGCAATTAAAACCATATCATAGCGTAAGCCAACACATTCATGAAGATGCCACCTATATTACATCCAATACGTAAGTTTATGATTGATAAAATAAGATTGTAAATGTAAAAGTTAAATAGAAGTGGTGACAATATACTACCTTGAAAAATCCATTTTCCAACTCTAAAACTATTTGATTTTGTTTTCTGCCATCAAACAGACATTTGTTGATTACTATACCAAAATGCAAGGAAACAAACAAGATTTTTGTGTAACCCATTATCTAGTAATTTCTGAAACAAAAGCCAGTAATTGACACTGTCAAATGCTTTATTAAAGTCTATGAAACAAGCAAATACATGGCTTCATCTAGATGTATAGTATTGCACGGTCTTTTTAAAATAGTTTGAGAATGACGTTGTTGAGGGATTTTGTTTAAAGCCAAATTGGTAGTTTTCATTTTTATCAATGTTGAACATATTGATTTTGTGCAATAAAAGACTCTCAAATATTTTTGACATAGCAGAGGAAACCTCTATGATTCTATAGTTTTCACATCTGTGATTCTATAGTTTTCATATATATATATATATATATATATACAGGGCCGGCGCGAGTAGGGGTCACGTGGGGGGTTATGCCATTACAACTTTTGCCGTCTCAAAAAAAAAAAAAAAAAAAGGTCCTCGTTTTTTAAAATTTACCGACTGCCATAATGACAATTGCCGACTGACTTTACCGACCAACCTATCGACAGGGTCTACATTTGCCGACTAACTAGTCAAAAAGGGTCACATTTGCCGACTTATGGTCAAATTTGCCGACTAAAAGTCATTAATGGAGGGGGGGAGTTTACACCCCCCATCAATGACTTTTAGTCGGCAAATTTGACTAAAAAACATCCCCCACACCCCCCTATCGCACCGGCCCTATATATATATATATATATATATATATATATATATATATATATATATATATATATATATATATATATATATATATATATATATATATATATATATATATATATATATATATATATATATATATATATATATATATATATATATATATATATATATGTATATATATATATATATATATATATATATGTATGTATGTATATATATATATATATATATATATATATATATATATATATATATATATATATATATATTGTAGGAATTGTGTTAATATTTCCAGTAAGAGTGCTCAATACAGCGTGTGGAGCAAGTAATAGTGTGAAGACTTAATAATTATTAAGATATATTTCAATTACAAAACTAGAAGTTTGGCGTAATAAATATATATAAATAGGGTTATTCCATATGAAATCACCTAGTTTTTCAAAAGTGCCCCAGGGTACCACCTCAAATTTGCTTCAAATTTTGACCACCCATAGCTTTTGAAAAAATGAAAAAAAAACACAAAAAAAGTATTATAATTGAATTAATATTGACCAAAATCAGAAAAATTCAAGTATTTGGAGCTTACAGTAAATTTTTTCGATCTTTACCAGATCATAACTTTTTAAATAAAATAAAAGATCTCCTGAAATTTTTAAGGGTAATAGTTTTTCACCCAAATTATCTATATTTGTAAGTGTTTTTGACTGATTTTAAACAGTTTTTGAGTTCTTGTACCTCAAAGTTACTTAATAATGCAATATTAGAAAATATTTTGGAAACTTTAATGTGCTACAGCTCAATAACAACAGAAATGCTGTGGCAATTTTTAGTTAATTTTGTGTGCTTAGAATAACCACTTGTGGAAAAAAATAAAATCATGTGTTAAAAGTTATTTTAGTACTTGCAACAGCCTGTTAAAATATCACTTTAAAAAAAAAAATATGATAAATTACATTCACTTTGTAGGCATAGAAAGTAGTGTAGACAGTTAAAATAAATTATGAAACTTTTTACTGGCAAGGTTCTATATATTGACAATCACCAAAAAATTTAAAGACCTATACTTTATCTTATGATATAGTTTTAGCATTTTGAGTGCAATGCTTTTTTAGTTTAAAAGAATACCTAATAGCACAAGTTATATTATACTTCAAAAAAATTAAAAATGCTGAAAGAAGAAGTGTATATATACATGGAACACAAGTATAACAATTTCTTTATCTCTGATTTACATAACTCATAATACTGTCATTATCTTTATTAGCAAGTTTGTAGTCACAAGCACTTCTACCCTTAATGGACGCATCACTTATTTGACATATTACTTTGTCAAATCATTAGGCATCATTAGTCCATTTTAAATTTAATTTGTTTCTTTGTATAAATTTTATATTATCATCTTTGTTTTCTTTACAAATCTCAAGCACAAGCCTTATGTACCATTCATCATCATAAAAGCATGCAATCTATTTACCAGGTTAAAAGTTTGAAGGATCTTTTTTTGCCAAATTAATATTATTCAGCAAATGAGTATCAGACAGTATCGGTAGATATTCTCCGTAAAAATAGTTTTTCCCCACCTGGTACAAAACTGTGATAGCTTCTTGTGCCTGGGAATGTGCTCATCTCTTCATATCTTTACTTTAGGTTTAAATAAGTTTCATGATGATTGATATTATAACTTGAAATGTAAAAAAGTTTAACGCCTTAAATGTTTTTTTCAGCCATGTAAACAGTTCATTTGGATAGATGGAACGTGCAGCTTCGTCTATCTATATTACAAACACATACTTTCATAAAATCTTTCTAATATATTAAATGGTCCTTAGGTAAAGCAGCACACATCAACTTAATTTTTTGATGATAAGAACATACGCAAACTGAGTGACTTCCACTACTGTCAACTGTAATGCAACACTTTGGCCTTAGTTCACAGAACTTGCTGAATCCAACTTTGTGTTTAGAGAATAACTTCTTAAACTCAAGATAAAATTCATTTTATTTAACTAATATTAAACGTTTTTGTTTATGAACTTTTACATTACTTATACGCACAGAAACAAAGTTTTTTTTTTCTTGGTCATGGTTTTGTGAACTTTTTGGATTCATAAATTTCAATGACTTTTTGATTAACAAAATATTCCAAAGGCTGTCCTATTTTAGCGTCAGGTTTAGCAAGTATTCCTTTTTTTATTTTTCAACTTTCGAGCTTTTTTAATAAGATGTTCTGAAAATATTTTGCAAGTTTTTTTAATTGACCAACAATCAGAAGTTAGTGTTAGTAATTGAACTTTTTCTTCCTTCAAACTTATTTTCATTTTATTTTTTATTACATCTAACAGTTGGTCTAAATTATTACAGCTTATAGATTTTTGCTCTTTTTCCGCTTGTACTTCTACATATAACTATTTCTGCATACACAAAACTTTTACTTTTTGTTCTTGCAATATTAAAAACTAAAATAATAAAATCGAGAAAATACTGTTTACCATTAGGTGATTCGATATAGAATGACCCAATAAACAAAAATAAATAGTGTTTTTTTATAGGGTTTGTAATCCCGTGATATATTTTTAATCCTGGAATTTTGGGATTATTATTATTTCTATTTCTGTAACCAATTCCTGGATTTAAAAATCCCAGGATTAATCCCGGGATTTTTAAATACCTGTTCTTAAAACATTTTAATATATTACACTAAACAACAACTTTTAATTTTTTTAAACAGAACAGAAATCACATTCTTAAAAATTCAAAAGGAAATGCTGTTCATTGGTATGCTCATCACATTTGTCCAACATACCGATGATAATTGGTATTCTTTTTTAAGTCTGTTATTCTTTCGCTCTTTTTTTAAGAGCAAAAAAAAATTTAAGCAGATCGAGTTGTTAGGACTAAATTAGTTACAACTGTTGGAAGTATGTTAAAGAAGTGTTTGTTAAAGAAGTTTTCTTCTGATTTTTGATTTTGTTAAAGAAATGTTCTTTTAATTTTTTGTTATATTGAGCTGTAGAAGACAATAAGTATAAAAATTATATTTTATATAAAATATATAAATGATAAAGATTTTAGTCTAGCCCAAGGGCTGCTTACCTGTAATATTTGCAAAATGTTGCTATAAGTAATTAGCTAAAAAGAATCCTTCAGATAACCCAGTCCTGTTCTGATCCCAAACTTTTTAGAGATTTTCAGAAAACTGGTGCTTTAGAAAGTGTATAACCTATGGGGCACTTTGCAGCTTTCTAGGGTAAACCGAACCCTCACAGCCCTACTCATAGTTATGGGGTTGGATAAATATGTCAATTTTGTTCAAAAGCTGACTTTTTAAATATTTGTTATTGCTTATCGCAGATATGGTTTTCAAATTATTTGCAATCGTTTCATATTTCATCTTTTTATCTTTATCATCTTTATCTTTATCTCCTTTATCTTTCATTCTTTTTGATTAAATGCTTAATAAGAATAAAAATTAAATGTTATCAGATTCTTAATGGTTTTTGCTTTTTTGGATACTGCTAAATCGATACATGTGTCTGACTTCGCCTCATACCAACATTTTTATGGTATAAAAAAACAGGAAATATATACAATGTTAAAAATTTAGTACTCCTATATTAATTACTGTTTTTATATTTTGTAGTAAAAATATATTTGGCACAAAATGTTATGAAGTTCATATTTTATATGTACTTCTTCAAACAAGTATAAATTTGTTTAGATTTTATATTATTGTTAATGATTTCTATTATTGTTTAGAGTTTATGTATTTATAATTGAAAATAATTTTATTTTTATTTTTACAGAGTGTTTTGACAAAAGTCACAGTGGAACTACTTCTTCGTAATTATGAAAACAAAAATTCTAAAAAAGCTAGTGGTGTTGGATGTGATCTATTTAAGTTGAGTTGTGACGTAAAGTTTATAATTTGTATTAAACTTGGCAAATTGTCAGCTTGTATAAATAAATCTAGTACAAAAGTATTTAGACAAGCTAAGGCTATAAACTTTGATAATGAAAATCTTGTTGATAAGCAATTTACTCGTAGCTTTACTGAACCTTACAAAGTAAGTAAACATTTTTATTTTTTTAAAAATTAATTATGACGAGAAAGTACAGTCAACAAAAAATAGATTTGATCCAATCAATAATTTGAAGTTTTTAAATATTTCATAATAGTTTAGTTTTGTCTCAAATATTAATGTCAGAAATATTTTTCAATTAACTAGAGCTACTACACTTTTGATATAAATATATAATATAAAGTATGACAAGCATTTTTATCTATTGTTTTAATTAGTGTTTATATAGTTATGCAAATTAATGGTGACCAATAGTTAACCAAGAATAATAATCATAGTTCTTATAATTTAGGAAATTATTAAACAAATAAAGTTATCAGTTTTAAATGGGTCACTCCTAAACAAAGTTAACAGAAGATCAAAAAGTTCAATTTTTTATAAAAATGTTACCATTAATAACCATTATGAGATGTATAAATGTGGCTTAATAAATGTAAAAATGTGGCGTAATTAAACTGATAACCTTTTTCAATTTTTTATCTTGAAATAAGCTCAAAGAAATCGACTTTTAACACTATCCAGTGCATAATAAAGATTCTATTCTATTAATATAATATGTTATCAGTTCAAATATAATAATGCAAAATCAAAATAAACAGTTTTATTATACTTTATATCTATATGGGCTTGCGTTTAGTTTATCGAACTGCATTTGTGAGGAGAATTTTGTACATTAAGCTGAAAAGGTTTGCACTGAACAACTTAAATGGGTTCCAACAATTGTCTTGATATCTAGACACTATAGTAAAAACTTTATGATGTAAATGTTTACATGGTTTTCCGACTTTGAGGATAATTGAGATTATAAATATTAAAAAAAAAAATTTATCACATTTTTTTTTTATTAACTTATAACAAATTCATATTTAGTATAGATTTAAATTTCATTTTGCAACCTCTTAGCATTCAAAAATTAAAATATAAAGTTTTTGATTCCATAAAATGAGAAGGTATTAAACAATTAAGGCCATATAAAGTTTATGATTCCACAAAATGAGAAGGCTGTATACAATTAGGGTTGCAAGATGTTCGGCTTTTATGTAAAAGAATACAGTGTGAACCTTTAAAAACTGTGATTATTAATGTATTTTTTTACACAATATATATTTTTTATGTGGGAAATAACCTTATATATTACAATATTTAATACAATATATATATATATATATATATATATATATATATATATATATATATATATATATATATATATATATATATATAAGGATAAATATTTTGTATAAAGTTGCAAATATTGTTTAGTAATTTTTGAACACTAAATGAATATTGAATTCATTTAAAACCTGTTGATAAATACAAATTTTGTAAAAGATAACAAAAAAAAATTTGGTTAGATAGGGAGAAGAAAAAGGCAGGGATGACTGAGGCATTTTTGCCTCCAGGATTCAATATATACTTTTTTTCTGCTTCCAAAGCTCATTAGAAATAAGCTGGAAAATAATAGGCACAATTAACTTATTTGCGTTTGTACAGTAATCACTATTACTATAGTATTACAAATGGACAGAGGGGTAAATAAAAAACTACTCCTTCATCTCTAAGTTAAAAAGAAGAGAAGAAGTCAGGAAGTAAAATATTTACTTGTTGTATATGGTTAGGGGATAGACTTATATGCTGGTTTCTAGTAATACTTAACTCTATTGAACTGGAACATTAAGTACTTACTTTGTGATGTAATGTGAAAATTATGATGTGAAAAATAATGTGAAAAAGTGATGTGTATGTGTGTGTATATATTTATGTGTCAGCCATTTAACAATAAATTTTTCACCTTTTCCAAATGTTCAACCTAAATTCAAAACACTTTGCATAATGATCCTGCAAAACGTAACAAAGCCTAGTCATGTCAGCTGCACAAGTTGCTCTACATAGAAACTACTCTCCAATTAAACTGCATGAATAAGTTACCTTTGACTAAATCAGAAAAAATAGTCACAAAGTTCATTAGTCTACTGTCTCCAAATGGTAAGAGCTTTGTTTCATTAATTAAAAATGGAACAAAGATTAAAGTCCATGTTCATTATTTTTTTTCAACCATTCTTATTTATGTGTTAGTTTCTACAAATGATATATACTACAACAAATGCAATATCTGCGTAAATTTGGAGTTTTTGTAGCACTTCTTGACCACTGTTAAGATACTTACTTTCAACCAATGGCAGAAACCATATAAAAAACATTATGCTACAGTTATAAAAATAGAAAGTGGTAACTAATTTATTACTCAAGTTATGAGAGAAAAATTTTCAAAAATTTCTTATATAATCAAAATCATGGTAACTTTGAATATTCAGTTTTACCCATACAAGTATGTCATATAAATTGAGGTGAAACCTCTTACTACAATTAGTTTTTCATCTGTTGATCTTTTAAACTGTCAATCAATTAACCGTGCTGTAAAGTCTATAACCAAAGCATCTAAGCTAGTTTATAGTCTCAAAAAAAGGCTTTAAAAAAAACTTTATTCTTACTAAAAATCAGAGTAAAAAAGAAAATTTGATTTGTTAACAAAACTATTTTATCTCAAGCAAGATAAATTGATTAATAATTAAAAAATTCTTAAACTGATGTTTCGTTTTTATTTGGTCAATGCCATAAACTCTGTAAAGTCTATACTTTTTTTACCATGCATTGATCTGAGTGTTATTCTCTTTTAGTGCCTCAATCAGACCCATATTTTATGGGTGATATCTAAAAACATTCAAGCTTTTATATTTATATTAATTTCTTACATTTTAGCCAATTATTGCAACATGCTATATTCAAGTGTGAAGTATATATGCTTGCACAATTATTCCTATTTTTGTCAATTTTAAAACTTTCAAGCCCAAATCAGTTTTACATTTTTTATAAAAATGTGTTTGGTCTCACATATAAATACTTCCTCACCCATACCAATTTTGTTTTCAAAAAATTTATCTAGATGGAATTGTCCTTCTGTTTAGGGTTCCAAAATATGCCACTCAGGGCATGTACGTCTCTTTTGCCCCTCCTTTTTTTTTGCCCCCTCTTTTTCTGTAGCCTGTAACAGCAGTATAAAGTGATTCTCAAAAAAGAAATTCTTTTTTCATACTTTGCGTTTCTAAATTTACATATCGTACAAACACCAAAAGTTGCATGTTGAATGGAAATATCGAAAAGTTCAGTTCATTAATGACCTGCTGCAAATTCTTGGAAGATATTTCAACAATTTTAGAATGGATGAAGTTGTTTGACAAAGGCACTGCTTTAACTTTTTCTTTTTCACCTCTACACACGACTATGGAAGAGTTTCTGCAATAGTGTGTAGTTTTTTATATTAGGTAATATTATATGAAATTTTATATGATGCTTCAAAACATGATTTTTGTGTTGGAGGAAAACCTAGTTTGGCTAAAGTGCCACCTTTCTCAAACCAAGCTTTTTTGGCACGAAAAACATTAACACTATTACTTATTTCCTGGGTAGATGGGTTTAAGATGTTCTGATAATTTTGCTGGCTTCATACTTCCATTATCAAACACATAAATTGTTTTCTTTTCTTTTTTTTGTATAAGTAAAACACAAAATACAATAGACAATACAATAAATATGAAAGTTATTTCTACGATTAAAACATGGAATATTTAATACAATATACAAAGACATTGTAAAGTAATATTATTATTGCAATATAAGCAATATTACCTATTATTATTATTACTATTATTTATCTTGAGTAAATTATCTTGAGTAAGAGACTAAGAAATTAATTTATTACAAAAAAACTTTTTTCGTTTTTATCGAGTCATGCATATATATTTTGTATAAGCCCAAGTCCCTGAAAAGGATAAAAATGTGCTGGCACAATAATATTTTTGGGGCCTCCCTCTTTACGACTAATATTTTATAAAGACATTCAAAGCGTAATAATAATTATAAAAATTAGCACTTCCTTATAAAAAGCCACTTCTTCAAAACCAAAGAGGCTCATAAATATTTAATGAAGCTGGAGATTTTATTATTTAATGGTAACATTGCGTTGCTTGCACAATTTTATGCACAATAGATGCACACCTGTTTCAAAATATTTACAAACGGATGGCTTGGAACTTCTAGTTGCCATAAAGATGGTAGAAACCACTTTAAATCGCCTCATTGCAGTCCGTGAAAATTCCCTAATATCCTTATAAAAGCTCAATCATTTACAAGATTGGCTAACAATATCATATCTGAAGCTAATAAAGATATTGAAGAAACATTTGAAATTGAACTCCCACAAAAATAGCTTAAAGGAGGTAAAAATTTCACGACCCACTAAGGCAGTTTAAGGTTAATGTTTCCTATGTTATTGTAGATATTGCTTGTCTAGATCCTCAAAACTTTCCATCTTTGTGTGACCATGTGAAAACACTGTACACAGAGCTGATATCATTTCCAACTAGTTGTCCATTTGTTATGGAAAATAAGGCTGGTAAAACTGAATCAGAGAAATGCAACTCCAAAAAAGACTGCAATAGACGGTTAAGTTGCCTTCTTTTTCTCCTTTGCTACATTATTCATTGTTATGGATATTCTAGTATGTATGTTGCATACAAAATAGCATTGTATCTCCCTTGCACACAAGTCAAGTGTGAGCAAGTTTTTCTAATCTTGAATAACTTATTGGGAAAATCCATTTTAGCATGGCAATATGTGCAGAAAATAAAGTAGTGTGACGCTACAATTTAGAATTACTTTATTTTTAAAACCATGCTTATGAATTTATTTTTTTAAACGTTCCAAATAAATTGATGGGCAAAGATATGGAAAATTTGCATGCACATTATAAGAAATTTTCTATAACCATATAAAAAAATTATGTGATTAAGGATTTAAATTATTTTTGCTAAATTATTTGCTACCAAAAGGGACTCAACTATTTCTCTCCCCCCCACCCCCAGCCTCTCAGTACCAGCATGACCCTGAGATTTATAATATATATTATAATTGCAGTATATTAAGAA